TTTTGTAGTTAATGCATTATTAAAGGGGTCAGATTTCTTCATAAACATGTTCATAATTGTATGGGCATAAAACTGCATGTATTTACATCATAATGGTGTGAGCTTTGAATAACTACAGATTTAGTCAGGGTAGCGACATTTTCAATTTTAACAGGAATGACATCAAGACTTGAGAGACACAGCTCGTTAAATGAATCGTAACAACATGCTGATTGTTTGTCTGATGAAACATCTTTAGAAGTGATTTTCAGTAGCCATCTATTCCTCACAGCCTCGTTTTCATTCAAGTAAAATTCAATTATGGCATCTAACCTGACTAAGGTCTAGACTCTAGACTATTTCCACAATCTTCATCTAAACATGAACTAAAAATACTATATGATCACATTAACCCCTAGGACAATAGGACAGGGATACATTTATTCACAGGAATACTTCACCACGAACACATTACATGCTCATAGAACACATACCAAAGACACTATATTTATCTTAATATGGAGCTAATTAAAGACAGCAGGGAGAGAGAGCAGATGGGTGTTTGAAAAGATAATGTAGTTGGTGCAGACAGTGGAGACCATAGAGGGACTCAGTGATCGACAGAGACAGGCAGCACCAACAGCTGAATCTAAGAATGGAGAAAGCAGCAGAGAGGAATGAAGATACAGTACAAAGGTTAGGCTAAATATGGCTGAATTGAAAAGCACCCCAGTAACTGTACACAGCATTTAGTGACATTTATACAGCAGTGAACCACTGACATTTTAAGAGCACTACTTTCTGCTCATCCACTGAAAAGAGAACCAAAATGTGTGATAATCAAGAGGTTTAAAGAGTTAATGAAATTCATATTAGCTGTTGTGAACATTCAAGCACATTTGTCATTTTTGTCCAGTTTTTTTTTAGCAGCAATCATTTGGTTACAAGGCGTTTTCACACAGAACTGTCTAATTGCAACATGACACCCGCCAACACCAACATACAGAAGGCGACAACATTTCTTTTTCTGTTCTGAGGGGGTGGGGAGCGAGTGGGCCATGTGAAAGGTGCAAGAGACCCTCTGTTAGAGCAGTGGTGCTGCTAGAGAAATGAAAAAGTCCCACGGATACAAAGAACATGGAAATCAGGAATGAACAGGATTTTCTTTCTCTTGGATGCAAGGAGTAAACGGAAGTTGTTGGCTGCAAGAACATAAAGCGGGGAGTGCAGATCCCGGAAAGATACAGATAGGAGAGCTAGGCCATGAAAATCTCTTGAAGGTTAAAGGACGCAGAGTGTAAGAAGAGGAAACTACTAAAGTAGCACATGCCATTTGTATACCTGGATTAAATGCAACAGTATATGTGACTGTTATACAGATTACAGAAGCATATCTACAACATACATTGCCAGAAAAGTGATTCCAGTGAATGAGATAATCCTTTTTCAAACAGTTAACTGAAAAATACATTTGCATTAATCATTGGACAAGCTTACATAAATTGTGTTTGTTTTTTTTAACATTTACATCAGGCGAATTTTTTGTTGGATTCTGAAAGAAACTGGACTTTAAGAACAACCAATCCATATTATCTGAAGTTCACTGGTATGGTTAAGGAAACAATACAAATGTTTCTAAACTCTGTCCTTGTGGTCATTACTGACCTGGCAGCTGGACTTCTTGGCAACGCATCATTTCGACGTCATTTTCATTTGTTGCTGTCAGCATTGCTTTTATTTGGGCCCCTCCTGAACCTATGGGTTTCCCATTATAGTGTCTTTGCAAAGAGGACACATTTTCTCTACAGGTAAGCCGCAAAAATGCAAATCTGTGCAAATGAATATTCAATCAAGTAATACCACACCAGTGCTGTTGTTTTGCGGCCTCATGCTACAGGTTATCACAAGGTATAGACAGTGCATTCAGTGGATTGTGTACTGTTGTTTAACAACATACCAGTTGTTCAGCTGACAAAACGTCTTTCCGGAATAAACTTTTAGTAGACAAAAACTCCATAAACCAGTTTTGAAAGTTGTGTGTTGTGAAAATTGTCATCTAGACCTTTATACAGTGCATGCCATTGTAAAGTCTATTCCTCACAGTGTCGTTTTCATCCATGTTAAATTCACGATGGCGTCTAACCTGATTCAGTTTTTATAGCGTTCCTGAATAAATCAGTGTTTTTGAATTAATCAGTTGAGTGAATGATACAATGACTCACTCATAAAGATTGAGGGTGCATCCAAATATGCCTACTTTCCTACAATATAGTAGGCGAAAAACAGTATATGAAAAGAGTATTATGTCTGAATTAAATTTTGAGTAATAACTTTTCACCATTAACCCTCTGGTATTGTTCATTTGGGAGTCACACTTGTGTTGTTCGCGGACACCTGAAATGAAACTTTTTTCATTTTCAGTGAAATCAATGTAATATATTTTTGTTCGATAATATTTTTTTATTTTGTATTTTGAGAGAATTTCATGGTACTATTTAATATTTATGCAATAATTATAATAATTAATTTTTTCCCCATTGAAAATAATACAAAAACAATGTTCTAATATTTTTCTGCTACTTTTCAATTATGGCAGTATTTCATGTTAAAATAGAGACAATGACTTTAAAATCCAATTTTTGAAGGCAGATTAGTTCCATTTGGTGGGAGTAAAAAAAAGAAAAACATCTGAAATTCTATGGTTTAGCCACTAGATTCCTATAGAGCTCTATATAAAAGGCTTATAACTTCTCTAGTTGTTTTTAGACATAAATACTTTATTTTTTGCACTTTTGATATTTTAGAGTGTCTCCCCTTCATTGCTGTGCACTTTTTTTCTGCATCGTGAATGATTTGTAGATTGTACACACACAAAAAATCTCTGTATTTTTGCTTATTTCCCATTCGTTTCCAATGGCGGTCATTTTTGACCATGAAAAACACAAGTGTGACTATATTTTTTAACGACCATTTAGCTTTTTCAAATAAAGTCCACAATTGTTTTATTTTATTTTTTTTGTGGTCACATAGGTCATCCGATAAAGTAGCGATTTAAAAAAAAATTTATAATTTGCGAACAATACCAGAGTATTTTTGACCATGAAAAACACAAGTGTGACTATATTTTTTAACGACCATTTAGCTTTTTCAAATAAAGTCCACAATTGTTTTATTTTTTTTTTTTTGTGGTCACATAGGTCATCCGATAAAGTAGCGATTTAAAAAAAAAATTATAATTTGCGAACAATACCAGAGTGTTAAGAGGTCAGTTATAGAATGTATGTAAGGCTTTTCTCACAAAGTAGATCATTGCAGTGCTGAGAGGGGCCTCCAGGAGAGGTTTGATAACCCGTGGTTATCTAATTTGATAATTAGATCAATAGTGATTCACAGGGCTTGTGCCCCCAAAAAAAGGGCGTGACTCCAGTAGTATGAATGTAATCCAGACATCCATTCATCATGTGATCTACAAATCATCATCTTTGACCTCATGGAATAGTAAAGTGTCCACTGATGGTGCATTTCAGAATCTTGCCAGAAGTAGTAGGTCATCCGGATACACCTACTGTTTTATGAATACTGTAAAACTGAACATACTACTCTTTTTACATACTGGTGGTTTTCACCTAAATATAGTAAGCAAAGTATGCATATTTGGATGCAACCACAGTATTCTTGCAAATGAGTGCAAAAAGAATATAGGATACAAAACACTGTGCTCAATATTAATACAGCAATATGTCATTCACCATTCATTTTTAGGGTCTTCCTGCGCTCAGGTTGGGGCTGGACCTGCATCTTTGTTGGCTCTTTTGTCTTCGTCCTGTCTTTCTCAGTTCGTCGCTCACTCGCACTTTCCCTGAGACACCTTTCTCGGCTAGCTGTGGCAGGTGGTCTGTGGCTGGGCTTCCGCAAACTGCTTTGTCTGTTGGAAAATGCCACCGGGAGCTGCTATGAGCCCCTCAGTTCCACTCTTGACTTGGCTTCAGGGACCAATGGAGAGCAACCTTTACTGCTTTTACGAGAAGGTGAAACAAAAGAGGCCTGTGTCCGCTCTGGTATGTTGTGGCGTGGCTATGAAGTATCTGAAGATGCTCTCCTACTGTGTTTGTGCTGCCTGCTTCTAGCTGAGGAGACTGCAGTGTTTGGGCCCTACCTGAGTCTGGGTGGACCCTCTGGAGGCCCGCTGCGTATCCTCTTCCTGTTCTGCGTCCTGCTGTTGAGTCTCTGGGTGTTCCTGCTGCTCTGCCTGCTGGCTTACTTCCCCCGGTTTCCTACTCAGCTTTTGGGAGGTGCCCTGGGTTGTTTGAGCTGGAGAGTGTTGTATCAGGGCTGGTACCGACTTAGACCTAGTTGGTACTGCCCTGGAAGGCCAGGGGTGGGAGTTTTGTCTACACAGAGCAACCAGGATGAGACATCTGAGGCACTGTGTGAAACTAATGCTAATGAGATTAACTAGAGAAAACCTGAGCAGAATTTGGACTAATTACATGTAGTGGTGCTGCAGTATACCATTGAAACTCACAGAATATCCCGCCAAATCTCTGCCAGTACAGGATGTATATTTGATAAATTATCAAAATTGCTGGTCTTTATATTGTTCCTTCATGCATGCTTACTAAATTCTCACTGAGACCCTGAAAATGAAAAATTGAATATCATGGTCGAGAACACTCTTCAAGGGATAGCTCACCTAAAAATTTCATTCAGACCTGTATGACGTTTCGTATGATTTTCACAGTTGTTTGTGTCACTGACTTTCTAAATATCTTTTGTGTTCCAGAGGAAAGAATGCCATACAGGTTTGGAACAACATGTGGTTGAGTAAATTGTGAATTTCCATTTTAGGGTGAACTATGTTTAATGATTTCAAAATTTGTCAGGTTCAAGTTTAAATATCTTTGGGAAGTTTTAACATTAATACAAAACTGGTTTCACACATAAAACCGTGATTATATAACAAATGAAGACACAAATGAGACATCATATTGATTTATTAGGTTCTTCCTAATTAGTTTTTTTATTACAAAAATACTCACAGAATTTCTGGAAAGCTCAGCCTTAAATAAGAAACTTGTGATTCATTTATGCCCAAATGCATATGTAATTTAAAGACAGAATATAATCCTGGGTCAGTGTGGTGTGGTATACATTTTTATGCAGTTGTCTCATTTTTCAAACATCTCTAAACAAGAACCATCTTTTGAACAAAGCTTTCACAAATGAAAAACCATCAGTGGCCTCACAACAGACAAAAAAGGGGTGTATATAAGAGACGCTTATTTGGATACACAAAGCATGCTTCAAATTTCTAATGGAAAAGTTTAATAAGGCAAGAGTAGGAATAACTCCTGATTAAAAATGACATTAGTACTGAAGAAGAATCTTTCCATCCATCTTTAAAAAACCTGTTCAACAAAACCATAACTACCTAACTTTGAAAAAAAGAAAAAAGGTGATGGACACACACGAAGAAAGCATTTTTCCTGTTCGAATGAAGCTCCAAATAAAAGGCTGAAAAGGAGAAAAAACATTCTCTGAAAAACTTGCTCAGATCATTATAAAAAGGCATGTTCCTTCACAAAGTATAATAATCCTGGACGGTGGTTGGTTCAGACAGTCAGGAACCGTTCATCATAGGAATTTCAGATGTGACACAGTCCAGTGGCTGCCAGTGGCAATCCATGAGCGAATCGTACAGCTCCTCACTGCACTCCATGTATTGCCTATTTAATGTATCCACATCCACCTGTGGGTTTGGGTCTGAGGGAGAAGAAGATGGTGAGTAATTACTGATGTGTGAACTCGCTCTCATCAACAATTTGGTCAATTAAACAGTCAAATTAAATGTTACGAAATATTACCTTCAGCTGGGTCCTCAACATCCTCAGTGCCATCATGTGACTGCTGAAGCAATACAAAAAAAGGTCAATTCCAGAATAAAAATGGTTTGGATTTATATTTAAAAAACACTACTTATCTTCATCAATCACTATTAAAATACCTCTGTGGATCCCTGCATGTCAGGGGGCATGGGGGGCATCCCCATGGGTGGGGGTGGTCCCATCATTCCATGTGGACCTGGAGGGGGGGTTGCATATGGGTTATAGCCGTAGTTATAACTGCTATACTGATCATAACCCCACTGAGGATAGTAATTGTTGTAGGGCTGTTGATAGTACTGCTGTTGATAGTTGGTGTTGTAGCTGTTATTCTGGTTGTGGTAACTGCTTGGCTTATTGCTAAAATAAAAAAAGAAAGAATATGGTGAGATTTCATGTGGATTTGTGAGGTTAGAGTTTACTTATCAGGACTAAGTCTCATTGACCATATAAAACTTAAGTAACAATGACAAAAATAAAATTCAAATGAAAGGTACCCTTTGTTGACGGCAATGCTTATCCTGATGGGTTTTCCTCCCAGGCCTGATGCGTTCTGAAACTCCTCAAGGGCTTTCTTCTGTTCGTTCTCGTCGCTAAACTTCACAAAGCCATAACCCCTGTACATTTGAAAAAACTAGATCATCAGCAACTGCTCCCTCACTCTTCATGCGCCTCATCATGCAGTATATGCTTATTTCAATATGTATTCAGAAAGTAATAATTAATTTGATGGTAGAACTGAAACTTCTCTTTTACTTTTAACATGAAGTAGCATCACTTCAATTGTGAGTTGCTCTTGCTTACCCTATATGGGGAAAACAATAGTTTTAGCAGATTTGTAACAACGGCAAATCACATCCATGTATTGTCTGGCCCTTTTTAGGAGAGGGAGGGTAAAGAGTATCGACTGAAAATAAGCTCTTAAAAAAAATATAAAATAAAAGGTAAAGGAGACCTCATCTAGTTCATCTGTGGTCAACCTCAGGTGATCAAACTGTCAGAGAAAGCCAAGCAAGGTTATGCAGCACATAGTTGGCGGCTGAAACATTTCATACCTGGAGTTCCCATAAGGATCAGTGACAACTTTGGCTCCTTTGCATGAAGGGAATTTTTTCAGAAAGAACTGATGAAGCTGGTAGTCTTCCACATCTGACGTGAGATCTCCAACAAAGACAGAAAATTCTGGGCTGAGGAAGAAAGTGAGCTATGTAAAGTGAAAGAAACCATCACAACTAAAAATTTCATATTTAACTACAAAAAAGCAGCTACTTTCTCTTTGGTTTCTCAACAAGAGATCAGCAACTAAAATGGTTTTCTGGACATGGTGTTCTTACCCAGGCTCTGGCCTTTTCCCATATGTTGCGTAGTTTAGCTTGAACTTCCTGGGCTGAAATGCAAACAAAATACAACCACTGAGCAAATCAAATGACACTTTGCCTGTAGTATGGAGACAATTCGCTGACAAATAGAGTTATATTATTTGAGTAAGGAAGCTGTTATTTCCACATACCTCCACCAATCAGTACTGGCTTTATCCCATTCGTCAGCTAGTTCCTAACAGAGTTTATTCACCAGCTTCAAACAAAGTCATTTTAAAAACACCCTCAACCACCTTCCTTAGTATCCCATTCGTCAGCTAGTTCCTAACAGAGTTTATTCACCAGCTTCAAACAAAGTCATTTTAAAAACAGCCTCAACCACCTTCCTTAGGGAAGAAATTGAGCTCTGTAACTCGCCCATCACTAGTAATATATGGAGTAATAATTCAAATGTCTCATATCAGGTGGGGGCCGTGCTGGTTATGCCTTCCTATAATAATCTACATATATGAATGCATTGAAATCAAATATAGATACCAAAACTACACAATCTAATGAGTGAAAGTTTGGCATCTTACCGGATTCGATCCTGGAACCAGCTTCCCATTAAGCCTCTGCACACAACGGTCAACACTGGCCTCATCTGCCATCTCCACAAAACAGTATCCAGCCGAGCCTCTGAGGAAACACAGAAGAGAATATTCAATGATTTCTGTCAACAAACTCACACAAAAGACAAAACCTGGCTCATCTTATAAGCCATGAACCAAACCAACCAGCTATGAGATTAATCAATGCATGACAAACTTTGATTTGAAGCAAAAATTTGCATTTGAAAATCAGGCAAAAAGACAAAGGTACAAGACCACATACTTAACAGCTTTAATGAGGGAATGAACTACAATCCCTTGCTGAAATGCAAACAAAATACAACCACTGAGCAAATCAAATGACACTTTGCCTGTAGTATGGAGACAATTCGCTGACAAATAGAGTTATATTATTTGAGTAAGGAAGCTGTTATTTCCACATACCTCCACCAATCAGTACTGGCTTTATCCCATTCGTCAGCTAGTTCCTAACAGAGTTTATTCACCAGCTTCAAACAAAGTCATTTTAAAAACACCCTCAACCACCTTCCTTAGGGAAGAAATTGAGCTCTGTAACTTGCCCATCACTATTAATATATGGAGTAATAACTGAAATGTGTCATATCAGGTGGGGGCCATGCTGGTTATACCTTCCTATAATATATATA